TGTCATAGCGCCTATATTTTTTATGTAAAATAATAATTAATTCAGGTTTAAAATATTGTGTTCATCAGATATATCTTTCTAAGACCTATAAATTTTGGAGTTATTTTTTATTACAAGGGATGATGTTCTATTTTGTTCCTATAAAAATATGACAACACAAACAAGTCAATAACGTTAATAATGTTAGGTATTATGAAGCGAACCATAAAAGATAAGTATATTTTGAAAGTTTTACCAACACCGGTTCAGTAATGATAATTTTATTGAAACTTTGACACACATAATAAAACTGGACATGATCCTTGCCTGTAAAAACAACGGGTTTATTTATATACAGTTCTGTGTATTTAGGCAACAAATGTTCTTTATGGCAAATATTAATAAAAAACAACAGACATTTTATGTCAATTAATTTTAATGATTGGCTTTTTCAAATTACGAATAATCTTTCTCACAGAGAAAATTCCGTCAGAAATTGTCCGAAATTCACTTCGGAAGAAAAGAACAAGAGTTTTGTATAAATAGGGAGTGTTGTAATCACACCTATTATACCTCTCTAACGCCACAACATTTATTGGTTCTATAAAACTCACCAATTGTACCTAACATGATGAAGACTTAAAAATGACGAAAGCCTGGACCATATTTCTTGTAGTTTTCTTCCTTGTCCGAGAAGGATGATTTGTAATTTGAAAAAGTTAATCAGTAAAACTGATCGTCACAAAATGTCTATTATCTTTAATAATATCTGCCGTACATGTCTAATCTTCTACCATTTGTCCATGACCCGAATATCGCTGCCACAGGTGACGCGGTGGTCCCGTTGTATATTTAGAGATTTTTATAAAATCCAAAGACGAATCAGCAATATTATTGGTCCTGAGCTGGCGTCTCGGTTTCAGTCACTTTCACACCGCCGTAAAGGTGCGTCCATGTGATTTTTCTATGAATACTTTCATGGTAATTGTTCGGTAAACGCTTTGCTATGGTACCAAAGTCGTTATGAATTAACTAGACTGACGATGAGGTCTCATTCAGAATCTATTTTACATATCTATAAGTCTACCTTTTGTACATATTTTGAATATTGCTTCCACATATGGCCCGGTAGTCCTGTTATATATTTACAGATCCTTGATAAAATCCGAAGAAGAATCAGCAATATTATTGGTCCTAACTTGGCGTCTCGGCTTCAATCACTATCCCACCGCCGTAAAGTTGGTTCCCTGTGCCTTTTCTATAACAAAACCTTTAGTAATTATTCGGATGAGCTCTTTGCTATGGTTCCTAGAAATTATGAATGTTGTGGTGTCCTCCCTCTAATGAATCTATTGTGGACGCTTCCACTTACTATAAAATTAGTACGAAAGTAAGCCTAGAAGGAACAGTAGTATAGATTGCTCTACCCAGGCTGTGATAGTTTGCAGTTGCTGTCGAACTCTCTGTCTAAAGACAGAAAGGAACCCGGACAAGGCTGTGCCGAAGGGTAGAGTCTCGTCCGGGAAGGTAGATAGACCCGAACTCGTTTATGCGGTTATATGGGGGATTTTTGGCCAAGCTAACGGGCTCCAATGACCCACGTTAAAATCGGCCTCGAGGGGGGGTAATAAATAACAACAGTAGTAGGGATTGAACGCTGGTCAACCGACACACACTCCCAAGTCGTGTAATACTCGTCTGTTGTACTTACTGTTTAATATATGATATATCTGCAACCTCTTGTTTTGTTATTTATTAACCATTTACTGGGTGACAACAATGAATTTAAGCACACTACCAAATTAGTAATAAGATCTCACCAATTTACAGTTGGATTTGATAGATGTAACCGTAAGTTCCATGCTGATAGTTTCTTTTCTCGTACTACTTGCTTGTGAAACTCTCTTCCGGTCTTTTGCTTCCTATTCAAAAATTTAAACGCAATGTCAATCGCTATCTGCTGTATTCCTGATTACTCTTCCATTAATTCTGTCCCTCTATAATGCTTCTGTTTCTAATTCTTTCACACCCAGTAATCTCTTGTGTCTTAGTGGCTTTATTTCCTTGCATGGGGTGAATTTGATTAAGAAAAAAAACCTACAGTTCCGCACTTTTGACTAATATGAATGTATCAGCGCACATTACCTTAGATCATAACACTTGACAGTTCTGTGTTTAGGTTGCAGCAATGTGCTCCGTGAAAAGTGTTACTCACAAAATGATACATTGCGATATATAGGTATATAATTGCATGTGAATTGTTTTATAATATCGTGGAAATTATGATTTCGTTAAATGTTTCATTTAGTATGTACCACCTCCATTTAGGGTGTAGAAGATCATGGCTCTCCTCAATTTTATACATTTGTTTCGTAAGTTTAAGTTATTGTTGAGAGAGCCATGGTCACTGAACTAGAAGATGAAATGGTCTAACATTAAGTTCCTGATTTTAAGAATTGACTCGAATTAAAGAATTCGGACAAGTTTTATCTTGATTTTGATATTTTGCCACTAAGTTTACGATGATGGATCCTGCAATCTTCTAAATATATATCTGTCACCTTTTATAACCTTTTTTTTATCCCCAACTATGCGTTTTTTCATTTTTCACCGTTTAAGAAGCGTTAAACTGGACGAAGCAGAAAGACCTTTGGTTTTGGCAAAAAAAAAAAAAAGACAAAAAAAAAACTCCATAAAACAAATTTTCATTTAACTGAAATTCTTGCATTTCTGTATTGTCTGAGATTCATAAACGATCGTCCAGACAGCAGTGTTTTTTTCTTAGATATAGAAAGAGTGTAGAATATTTTCTGTGGTTTACAAAGAAGAAAAAAAAAAACTTAAATTGATTGGCTCGAAATTTCGGAAAACTCTAATTGATTTCGTGCATTTGCTTGGCCGTGTCCGTCGAATCGATTGGAATTTTCTAACTGAATTTATCGAGTCGGCACGCTTTCTACGTTGCATTTATAATTACATTCTTTTTCTCTCTTTCACTTTCCCTACATTTACACAATTTTAATCATCGATTATTTATGACTTATTGATTTCATTGTCTTTCATTTGAAATATTTTATTCTAACTATTTTAGTTCTATTAATAACAGATTGAAACAGAGAGAACAGAACGTTATAAAATATAAACGCTGTTATATATATACATATATATATGTGTGTGTGTGTGTGTGAATTTGGGACGGAACTCTTGTGGGCCGACGATAGCTGTGCTAGGACGAAGCGCCAAGTCATCGTGGCCGAGGGCTTAAGCGTGTTGGTCTTGTTCAAATTTTTGGTCACGCATTCTCTACATTTACACAATTTTAATCATCGATTATTTATGACTTATTGATTTTATTGTCTCTCGTTTGAGGTATTTTTTATTCTAACTATTTTAGTTCTATTAATAACGAATCGAAACAGAAATTTATGAAAATACAGACGCATTATATATATATATATATATATATATATATATATATATATATATAACTGAAATTGGGTAGACGGAACACTTGTGGGCTATCGATAGCTGTGCTAGTACGAAGCCACAAGTCTTCGTGGCCGAGGGCTTGAGCGTGCCTAAATAAGACACTCTCTCCCAGAAACTGTAACTAAGTGGCCCAGCATATTTGCATTATAAACCACAGTTGGGCTCTGGGAGTGTTGAGCCCTAGTAGACAGGTATCCTCGAATACGAGTGGCCAGCTATTATATATATATATATATATATATATATATATATATATATAAGGGCGTAAATAAAAATTGAAACATATTGAAGCAGGTTACCAATTTTGACCTGAGTGCAATATGTGCATGCTAGTTGGTAACAAATACGCACGAATAAAATTTTCAATCATCAACCAGAATTTGATGAAGTAACATTCCTATTAGTAAACAGTCTTTACTTGAACTTCGCTATGATTCAGTGTAGGGAAAGCAGGTTTCATGACACGTAGGCAAGCACGTCCTTCATTTATTCAAAAAGTTTCGTTTTACAGGTTTTAGATAATGGACCTTCGCGAGGTTGTATGGACATTTCGGAGAATCGTCGAACGTGACGTGTCAGTAATGCTTCAATGTTAGCAGCGCTATCAAAAGCACATTACTACGCGTTACAGTCAAATTACGTCTGGTCATGGAGTACAGATGCTCATCAAGATCACCGCATTGCAAGGGTAAAATCGACGAACTGCAATTCATCCAACGTAGAGATCACATCACTCATCGCGCCAGGAGTATCAGCGCGCATTGGTGGGAATCGGTTACTTGCAGCGGGAATATAGGTAGATGCGGTTAACCATAGTTCTATTTACTCCACGACGTTATCGTGGGAGTCTTTGTTGATCTCGCGTTAACCTTTAGCACTCTGCATTATTAATATTACTTACCTTTCCACTGTATTCATTTTAAACGCCTATCTATTGGTTTGGCAGCTAAGTTTCCGCCATTTTTTAAATTTTGAAATCTATTGTGTTTTTAAATTTTGGAATCTATTTTTTTTTTAAATTTTGGAATCTATTTTTTTTTTAAATTTTGGAATCTATTTTTTTTTTAAATTTTGGAATCTATTTTTTTTTTTCGGATTTCTATTTTGGGATTATTTTGTAATCTATTTTTTTCGAGTTAATTTAAGATAATTTCTGTTTATTTTCAGATCATTAAAATGGAATGTCAAGTTAAGAATTTTTGACACCTCTTTTTTGCTTTTAATCAAGGTTCTAAAGCCGCAAAAGCTGTTGTGCATGGAGAGGATGCCATAGCTGAAAGAACCGCTCGTGATTGGTATACCAAGTTCAAAGACGCACCTCGTTCTGGCCATCCAGTTGAGTTCGATGAAGAGCGATTAAACCAACGTTTGCACGAAAATTCTCGTCAAACGACAAGGTAACTGGCAGAGAAAATCGAATGCTCCCACAATGGGAAAACGTTCAGAAGTGTGCAGCATGGGTTCCGCGTGCTTTAAGTGACAACAAAAATCAAGGAGCCACAATCTCCGCTGGTTTGCTTGCTCGTCACCGCTCAACCCATGGACACAAGGAACGAGTTCTTTACAGAATCGTTACCGAGGACGAAAAATGCTGCCTGTAGATCAATATGAAGCAGCGCAAGGAATGTCTTAGTCCCTGTAAACAAGTGACACCGGGCGTGAAATAAGGTCTTCATCCGCGTAAAACGGTAAATGTTGTGCGTATGGTGGGACTGGGATGGGATTATCCATTACGAATTGCTTGAACGGGACCAAACGGTCAAAGCGGAACTCTATGTTTAACAGATGGAACGACTCAACACAGCTATCCAAGAGAAAAGACCTTAATCGGTAGCATGGAATTCTTTTGCTGCACGACAACGCCCGCTCTCATATTGCTAATATGACCAAGGAAGCCATTCAAACGCATGGGTGGGAAGTTCTGCCACACTCTTCATACTCTCCCGATTTGGCACCAACGGATTTCAACCTCTTTCGACCTCTTTTAAATGCTATGCGCGGAGTTTCGTTCAATACTGATGCAGAATTGAGAGCTTGGTTGGATGAATTTTTCGAGTCGAAACAAGATGATTTCTACTAAAGAGGTATTAAAAATCTTGTTGAACGTTGGACTGAAGTTGTAATTAACAAGGAAAATTACATTATTATTAATTAGTTATTATTTTTATTCAACCTTTTAAGAAAATTTAATTTAAAAAATGGCGGGAACTTAATTGCCAACTCAATATTTTAGTATCCTTATTGTTAGTTTAGCTCAAAGTTGTTTGCTGTTGCCATAGCAGGATATGACAACACAACTATGAAATTCAAACACACTATTGTTCGAGGATTTGAGTCACCCTTAGTGGCAGAATAAATGTTTTGGTATATCATACAGCACTATCATAATGGTTAACGTTATGTATAGGATCGAAAGACTATCTGTATTTTTCAGTAATAAAATCAGGTTCTGTTTTCTTGCAAGTTATCCTTTATTGCGAGACTTGGGTAGATACATCTTGTAGACCTGGGGAGAGATATTTATAGAATATATATTGGCCACACAAAAAAAGGTTCGATTCTTGACATCATGGTATGGGATGCCATAAGATATTTGACGTTAGTGTTTGCAGAAGGAAAAGTTAAATTGTGACTTTTACGTTTAGAATATAGTCCAGCCCTTTCTTCTATCGTTCCTAAAGTGAAAGCAGCAAAATGCACACCAGTGATAGTTAACATGCTTTGCCAAATGTTCGACAACATCCTTGGCCAGCACCATCACCAGATTCCTCTCTCACTGAAAATGCATTAACATGAAGCAATGACGCCTGGCTCGTCCATTTCGCTCCTGCACGATTCTTGCTGTATTGCACCAACAGGGGCAAAAAATCATTAATTAATGCATTGCAGGATGGTATTCGCTATCTGTAAAATCGTATTCAATCGAAAGTACAGGACTGTGTTAACGCCTGAGGAAAATATACAGTGTAGTAATAGGTGATATGTGCACTGTCTTTACACACCGAATTTCATAACCTGTGCAAGTATCGATCTGTACGTGTGATCATTTACTATAATTCAACTATATTACCATACAGGTGAGAACATGCTGCGATTGACAGACAGAAATGTATGATCGAAGCCAAATAGACAGATACGTGTATATACAGAACTAGATAGATAAATAGGCAGAGAAACAAAACCCACATACATACATACATATATATATATATATATATATATATATATATATATATATATATATGTCTATTTCAGATTTGTTTATCTATCTATCTATCTATCTATCTATCTAGAGAGAGAGAGAGAGAGAGAGAGAGAGAGAGAAAGATATGTATATGGGTGTATATATATACAGTTAGATATATATAGACATAGTGTGTGTGCGTGTGTGTGTGTGTTTCTCAGTTTCCTATATGTATCTATCTATTTATCTATATAGTTATGGAGAGATAGACAGTTATATTGATAGATAAATTGATAGATAAATAAATTGATAGATAAACAAAACTATCTCAGTTTTTTTTTGTCTATATAGATATAGATAAACACACACATACACACACACACATATATATATACATTTATGTTGTATGTAGTTATGTGTTTTATCTATCTATCTATCTGTCATGTAATCATTAACATTGTTTATTTGATATCTATCTCGACACACAGACACAGACACACAGAGAAAGAGAGATAGAGAGAGATATAGAGAGAGGGAGAGATAGAGAGAGAGAGAGAGAGAGAGAGAGAGAGAGGAGAGAGAGAGGGAGAGAGAGAGAGAGAGAGAGAGAGAGAGAGAGAGAGAGAGAGAGAGAGAGAGAAACAAAAAGTTAATTTCAGATAGAGACATTGACAAACCGAGATAGAAAACAAACAAGAAATTGAGAACAGGCTTCGACTGACAGACTTAAAGAGAATTTGTTTTAATTTAACAAGCTTGTATGTAAGCAACACTGAGAAAATGAGAAAATTCTCATCAATCCCGTTAATGAGATCACTGTAGCTAAACTAAGATAAGTCAGAAAAAATAAAAATAAAAATAAGTACATTTGTACTCTATTAAAGAATTCCACCAATTCTAGTTTAGTTTAATTGAAACGTGTTTCCTTTCAATTTAAACCCAAGTTTAAAAAAAAATCTGAGCAGCCATTTAAGCAAATAAAGTACATGAAGAGAATGGGTTATATAGATAGACAAAGTAGTTGAAGACAGTTTGTAATAGGTAGAAAGATATGGACCAATCTAGGAAGAACAGTTAAACTCTGAAGAAGAGTTGTAGATAGATAGATAGACAAACAGATAAATAGACAGAGAGACATATATATATATATATATATATATATATATATATATATATATATATATATATATAGATAGAGAGAGAGAGAGAGAGAGAGACAGACAGACAGACAGACAGACAAGCAGGTGTGAACAGGCTGTAATAGACAGAGATATGAACCAATCTACAAAAACAAGAAAATGGATAAGAGCAGACGATAGATAGATAGATAGATAAGTTGTTGAGAACGGACTCTAATAGATAGAGACATGAACCAATCTAGAAAAACAGGCAAATAGATTAGAGCAGGTGAAGATAGATAGATAGATAGATAGATAGATAGATAGATAGATAGATAGATAAGTTGTTGAGAAAGGACTCTAGACAGAGAAATGAACCAATCTAGAAAAACAGATTAGATCAGGTGGAGATAGATAGATAGATAGATAGATAGATAGATAGATAGATAGATAGATAAAGAGAAGATTATGATAAACAAAGAACAGGCTGAGATAGATAGATAGATAGATAGATAGATAGATAGATAGATAGATAGATAGATAGATAACAGGAACACGGCCGATAGATAAGAACAAACTCAGACCGCAGTAGAAAGTGATTGCTGCCATCAATGATAAAATAAAAGATAAATTCAAAGCAAGCAAGGAGAGAATTCAAAGAGAGAATTCGAAAGCAAATAGTATTGAAAGAAAGTGGCCTACTCAGCACTTACTCTTATATAGAATCTCTTCATTGCATATCAAAAATGTCAAGACATTTATTCTGTCACGTCTAGCCAGTAATCATCAAAAATGATTGATACAAAAAGGCTTCCAATCCTCTTTTTTCCTTTTGAGAATTTGAAAACCACTGCCTTTTTTCTTTTCGCTTTGTGTATCGCAATGCATCGAAAAATACGTACATCGCCCGCTTTTGAAGAACCCTTAGTATATCGTGAAGAATAATTTGCCGACTAAACAATGATGCGTATGTACATCTTACTGTCTAGTGTATTAATATATACGAGGATTAGCTTATTGCAGTACAAAGTTATTTTTTAATATTATTCACCCAATACATGACCTAAGTGCCACTCAAAGTAGCGGAATGGGGATTTTGTAATGGCGCATAGAGAGAGGGTTGCGTCTCATGAGTTAATGTAAAACAGATAACGTTTGATCCTCGACTTGAGGAGGTTAAAATTGAAGGGGGAGAAGCATCCACTCTTGAGTCTGTACCACATTGGATCAGTTCTGGGGAAGAAACTGTCTGAGTAGAACTTAGTAATATTGGGTGGATCCAAATTTCCAAATGAATAAAGTCTGTTTGTCTTAAAAGCAGCATTATCTGGGTTCGAACACCGATCGTTGACCCTGGAGTATCCGCTTCATTTGCAAGTCAAGTGCTGTTGCTATTCGTGATATTTATTGAGAATTGTATGGCACAACGTGTAAAGGGGAGTGAGAAGAAAGGACGCAATATCAAGTGTAAGAAGATAGAATAAATGGTTGTTAGCAAAAGGAACAGCCTAACATGCAATTTACAAATTGGGGATAACAAAATCAAACAAGTAGAAGAATTTAAATATCTGGGAAGTGATAGGAAGTGCGACACTGAAATTCAAAGACTCATTGGGATAGCGACAGATGCCTTCCAAAAGTTTGGTAAAATATTAAGAAACAAAAATTTAATCAGATTAATAAAAAAAATTAATTGGAAATAAAGAAAAAAGTACTGACCTCTTATGCAATATCAGTCCTCCTATATGACAGCGAATACTAGACAATCTCAAAGATGATAAAGAAAAGACTTAAAGCAACAGATTGGTGGTTCTACAGAAGGATGATGAGATTACCATGTGTCAAACACGCGAGCAACGTCGACGTTTTAGAGTAAATGGAAACAAAAAGGACACTGATACTTAAAATCAGAAAGAGACGGCTGGAATTTCTTAGACACATAACAAGGGCTTAGAAAATGTGATACACACAGGGCAGATTGAAGGCAAGGGGAACAGACGAAAACAACGCATAAAATACCAGGCGAGTGTGAGTAAATGGATAGCGGAACAGGGTTTAGGAGAGATAAACAAAATACAAAATTTATGAAGAGCTGCAAAGGATAAGAAATTGTGGAGAGCCATGATCGCTAATATCCTGAAGTAACATAGCACATAAAAAAGTAGAATTGGAACAGACTCTCCCTGTACAAATATGCTATAACCTTAAAGAGGTTACAAACAGACAAAGGTGGTACTCGAGTGAAGGGACAGCAACACGCGCGTAGATGAAAGAAGAGAGGTTTATTGGAAAAGAGAATACACTGCTGAAAGAAAGGGAATCGGGTGGCAGGCTTGTAATTTCCGCTGTGCTCACGATATATAGCTACTGATATAGTCAGTCCACATAGGTGACAGGGAGTGTGGGACATTCCATTACAACAAAATATTTTCTGTTACATTTTATTTTTATATTTTTGTAACACACTTTCCCTCCTATCTTGTTGCTTCCATGAATATTTAAGTTGTGACCTATTCAAGGGTCAATCCTCATCTTTCCTCCTTATCTTTATAATATTAAATTCTTACCAAGTTTTCTTATATCGCACGCCTATTTGTTGACGATAGCCTTCTACCTTCTTTGGCTCTCGAGGCTAGTATTTGGTGAACTTTAGTAAAAAAAAAAAGAAAAAGAAAAAATGCTTAACGACAGTACATAGCAAACAGAATAATAATTTGGATTACTATAATTATCGGGCAGTTGGACTAACATTGTTTGAAACTTCTACGAAGTCGTTTCTCTTGCCGTCCTTTCTGCGAAAAATTACCATTTGACAGGAACGTAGTTTTCCTGAAACGATTTCGTGATAGATCTTTCCTATTTCCAATTTACCAATCGGAATAAATGGTTGCTTTGGTTAAGATTTTAAATCCATCTTCTCATCGTTTTCTGCCTTGGGGCAAAACGCTTCGAAATTACGTCCATTTGTTATCTACACGTTATAGTGTGACAGCGAAAAAAGTTATGTAAAAAGGGACCTAATATATATATATATATATATATATATATATATATATAGTTATCCACAGTCAGACTGTTTCACTATATCACCCGATTATTTCTAGTCAGGACCGAAACCCGACTGATTTGGCATCAGTCGGTGTTTTCTCCCCGAAGCTATCAGCTCCCGGCAGAGAGGAAGGTGAATTTTTATGTATTTATTTTTGAATAAATACGCTAGTGACTTAGAGAGCTTGATTCATAGAAGAGTTTTGCATTATCAGCAGTAGCAGTTATGGTTTACAAATTCGAGCTTTTCCTCTAAAGTGCTCGACTGAATTTTAGAGTGCGAGAGAGAGAGAGAGAGAGAGAGAAAGAGAGAGAGAGAAAGAGAAAAGGAGGATGTGCGTGTGAGAAGGAGAGTATGTGTTTGAGAGAGACAGTGATAAAAGGAGAGAGAAGTAAAAAGAGAGAGCAAGCCAGAACGCGTGAGAAGATGAGATAAAAAAAAAGAAAGAAACGAAGAAAAAAATAAAAAGGAACGAAGAAAAAAGAATAAAAGAAAGAACGAATTAAAAAGATTAACTTTAGATAAATTAAAGAAAAGTTTTTATTGCACGCTGAAGTATGGAGTAGCGTTTTGGAAGTAATTTATTACTACTGGCTTGAATTCGATCCTCAAATGGTTTCTCATATTTTATTTTTGGTTTTGAACTTTCCTAAACTAATCCGAGCAAATACTTAATAAATCTGGCTAACTATTCCTTTTGGAATGCATTCAATCCTCATGGGGTTGATCCATATTAAAACAATTAAGGAAACTTCGCTGTGATTAAACCGTTAGCATGTTAACCTATTAAAGGCATTACTAATATATATTGGTCCTGACCTGGCATTTTGGCTTCAGTCACTTTCCCTGTGTCTTTTCTATAAATCATTTCATGGTAACTCTTCGAATGTACTTCTATTGGAATCATTGTAAATATTCATTGGGGTTTTATTTCTTTTTAAGTGTTTTTTTATTCCCCAACTCCACAAACAAATTGTACATATGGGAACTAGTTAGGAATTCATAGAGACTTTGGGGTATTATGGTGAGTGCAATAAGAATCGTTAGTAAGAATGTGTTGTTTTGGTGTAAGGAATACCGTGGCATGTTTGGATCAGTAATTGTGCCTAACTAGGTTTAAGACGATTAGCCTTCTCTTATCTTCATTTCTAGGCCTTAAGCCACATTTTTATATTTTCAATATTACATTGCTCTATTGTCCCCGAAAATTTATGAATTCATGTGCAGTACTAGATTGACGGAAAGGTTTCATTACTTTAAAGTTGAATTGGCTACATATAACCGTAAGTTATATGCTAATACTTTCAACTGTTGCACTTCTCGTTTGTGGAACTTACTTCCGGCTCCATTCTTTCCATACAACTTTGATCTTGAAAAATGTAAACGCAATGAAAATCGTTATATTTTGTCTTCGTAATATCTTTTTTTTTTATCGTTCTCTTTTTTTATTTTATTTTTTCATATTTCCTATTACGCACTTCGTCCTGGGTATGACGATAAACTACATCCGGCAGAAAAGGCCTCTGATCAGGAGGTTTTGAGGAACGTGGAACCACCTCTCAACTGCTGGTGTTCCTAGGTCCACCCTGACCTGGGGTGATGGCACCTGTTAGGGTCCCAGCTATGGGCAAATAGTTAACCCCGAAACTGTGGTAAAAAAGCATTATAAAAGTGTAATAATAGATTTTAATACCAGAAATACTTTGTAAAAAATTATTACCAGAAATGAATTTTGGAATAAAAAACTATTACAAGCAATATGTAGTTTTTTTTTTTAATATTACCAGCAATACATTTTTTAAAATAATATTACCAGCTATACATTGTTGAGAAAAATATTACCAGAAATAAATTTTTGACAAAACAAAATATTACCAGGAAAAAAAAAAGTTGTCGGCATTAAATAACTCATTGAGGTTGATATACCGTAAAACAAACCAAACCAAACTATTACTCCCTTACGCATTGTGTCTTATTTGCTTTCTTGCCTTGATTGGGATGAAATGATTAAAAAAATAAGAATATTACGGAGTGAACTTCAATGATCGAACACCTACATGGGGTAGACTAGGCCCTTGGTGGTAACAAGTCTAGGCGAAGGACTACCTTGAAGAAGGCAATAGGGAGTCCTATTAATTAACCCGTAGCTGGGGGAGAAGAGGTAGTTTCATTCTTTGTCCAACGGTATTGGTGCGTAAGTGAATACAATGAGCCCAACTGGAATCGAAACTCGACTCCCCTATTTCCAATTTCGAGACCTTGTCCATTACACCCCCCCCACACACATAAGATTACAGCACCTGGTATTCCCAAGCGGTCACTCATCTATGTACTGAGCAGGCTCGACGTTGCTTAACTTCGGTGATCATACATCACCCGTCTTGCTAAATCCTTTTCCCCGCTAAAGTCTTCTTCTTCCTTGGAGGTGAAATGGTTAATGAAAGATACGAAAACCGGTGATTCAACGTGATATGGCCCTACGCCTAAAAATATTATAGCAAAACAGAACAATATATATATATATATATATATATATATATATATATAGGTGTGTATATATGTGCGTGGGTGTATTCTTGAAAGGGTCAGAACCTGAGTCATTGGTCTACTATATTCTTCGTTACTCTATTTCTTTCCGATGTCTGTCCAATCATAAACGTTAATACGTTGTTATTGTTTCAGAACAGTGTTCAGACTATCTCATTTGTTCAAAGACCATTTTCATCGTCTTGTTACCAAATTATATTCGCCTAATTCAACAGAGTCTTTGTGTGATGAAGTTTCGCTTTATTTCTCAACTTTTTATCGTATTTATTACCTTTTTTTTTTGGTATTTTTCTTTCTTCTTCTTCTTTGTCCTATTCTCTCAGTTGATCTGCCGTTGACTTACAGTGAAAATATTTCGCCGGATCGTGCAAGAGCAAAGGTGAGCCATTCTCATCGGCTTTGCCGGGAGGAGAAAGGCAAATAATAGGAGATAAGCTAACATCACACCGAACTTACTTTCAGTTACGCACACTCAAATACGCGTGAATAAATACACATCGCGATATAGAGACGACAAATTAAACATTCATATCTATATACAAGTAACACAAGATATTTTATTTAGGCTTGTATCCTTCCATCCACATCTATCTATCTATCTATCTATCTATCTATCTATCTATCTATCTATCTATCTCAGTCTGTTCGTATCTCTCTCTCTCTCTCTCTCTCTCTCTCTATCTATCTATCTATCTATCTATCTATATATCTATCGATCTATCTCATTCTGCTCATATATATCTCATTCATTCCATATTCATTTATCTAAATCTATTATTATTTCACTCACTGTCTGTCTGTCTGTCTGTCTGTCTCACTCTCTCTCTCTCTCTCTCTCTATCTCTATATATATTTAAAATCTTGTCATTATATCAGTCTATTATTATTTCACTATCTATCTATCTATCTATGTTCACTATTTCGATCCTTTCTTATCTATCTATCTATCTATGTTCACTATTTCGATCTATCTATCTATCTATCAGTTCGTCTGTTTGTCGCAGTATCTATCTATCTATCTATCTATAAATCACTTCATATCTATCTATCTATCTATCTATCGGTCAGTTCGTCTGTTTGTCGCAGTATCTATCTATCTATCTATCTATCTATCTATCTATCTATCTATCTATAAATCACTTCATATCTATCTATCTATCTATCTATCTATCTATCTATCTATCTATAAATCTATAAATCATATCTATCTATCTATCTATCTATCTATCTATCTATCTATCTGTCAGTTCGTCTGTTTGTCGCAGTATCTATCTATCTATCTATCTATCTATCTATCTATCTATCTATCTATCACTTCATATCTATCTATCTATCTATCTATCTATCACTTCATATCTATCTATCTATCTATCTATCTATCTATCTATCTATCAAATCTTGTCATTATCTCAGTGTATTATTATCTCACGTGTCATTATCTATCTATCTATCTATCTATCAAATATCGTCACTGTATCAATCACTCTCTTCTCTTCTGTCTGTCATATCTCATAGTTATTATATCAGTCTATTATTATCTCATTCTCTTATCTATCTATCTATCTATCTATCTATCTATCTATCTATCTATCTATCTATGTTCTTCCATTATCTATCTATCTATCTATCTATCTATCTATCTATCTATCTATCTATCTATCTATGTTCATCCATTATCTATCTATCTATCTATCTATCTATCTATCTATCTATCTATCTATCTATCTATCTATGCTCTTCCGTTATCTATCTATCTATCTATCTATCTATCTATCTATCTATCTATCTATCTATGCTCTTCCGTTATCTATCTATCTATCTATCTATCTATCTATCTATCTATCTATCTATCTATCTATCTATCTATCGCACTCTTTTGTTCTCATTCCTTCATAATTTGTCTATACAAATCTGTTTCAACCTAACGAACAATCCATCAAATTATCTATCCAAGATTTTTCGTGTCAGCCAGTCAGTCAATCGATCGATCGATCATTCAGTCTACCTTGTTTTTTTTCCTGTCTATCAATCGATCACCCCCCCTTAATTTTATTCAAACGCATCTCTATCTCAGCCTTTTCGCATCAATTAATCGATCAATTGTTTTGTCAATTTATTTATCTTATTTTCTTCATATGTATGCATATCAGTCTGTACCTACCAATCAATCACTAATTCTCAGGATATCGATCAATTGATCTGTCATTTTATCCGTTTGGCTTGCCTAGTGAGGGTAACAGTAGTGAATTTCTGTCTTGTATCACGGTTTGAAGGTAGGAAATTAAAAAAAAATCGAATGCTGAATATTATGGCCGTTAGACTATTCCTCTAATAGTCACCTTTAAAAATAAAATTTACACTTACATACTTGTAAAATATTTCAAGAGTTCTGTCACTATTTAGTCTCTGAAATGTTTTGTTTTTTCCAGTTCTAAAATTAACCGAGGATATTATCATTTTTATTTGAAACAGAAAAAAATATGTCCGTATATATATACAATGAGAATTTAGTATTTACCTGATCTATAGTCAAATTAATGTCCCCATCTTTGTTGGTAATTTCACAAAGACAATGATTGAGAAGGAAAATTGATGACAACAAAACCTTGCTACCTTCAGCATAGTCCTTCGAAAGGTGCTGTATTGAGTCTTTGGTGGTTGTGCCGGAGAGGTTCAACGCCGAGAACAACAAAACCTGAGGTCTGCTGTTCACCATTTCTGTAGCAATCTTTGGCACAGATTCCGTTTCATCAGTAGTTCCAAAAAGTGTAGATCGTTCTGCACACGCCTTCAGCACTATAGTCAAATCCTTTGGGTTTTCTAACAACTTTCTTAAACCCCGAATGAGGTTGTCGGATCCTCATACGTAAAAATCGACAGGATAGACCATCATATATATATATATATATATATATATATATATATATATATATATATATATTTGTGTACCATATCGCAATTGTGTGAAAATTAGTTTTGCTAAACATCATTAATGAATTCAACCCTCATTAGGTTATCTATGCATGGGACGCTGTCACACACACACACACACACATATGTATATATATATATCGATTATATATATATATATATATATATATATGATAAAATCTCCCAACTTCGAAAATTTCATAGCAAAATATTCTATTAACATGTTTAATAAGAAATGTTGGTTTAAGTGCATTGAAAAAGATTGTATATTAATATATCTGTTGCGTAAATTGAATGGCTTATACTTATTGATATAAATACACACACACACACACACACACACACATATATATATATATATATATACGCGTATGTATTATATGCATACAGATATATGATATATATTGACAGAATCTTTTGCTTTGAGATTTTCGAATTTATAAGATTTTGATACTACTACACAGGCACATACAGACAAGCACACACACACATATATATATATATTTAAATATATATACTATCAAATATCATATCATATGAAAACTACATTTACAAACTTTATATGTGGGTTCCTCGCACAAAAAGGTCAAATATCCGTATAAACATATATCCGCAAATACTTTGTTTTCGAGCTGTTAAGTTTTAAGTAAATTTACGGTGTATGACTCTGTGTTGCTCTGTAGATTCGGTCACATATGTCATTTCTGCATATTTGTGCCGAGTCTGTCTTCAACGTATAACGTGTGTAATAGTAAGTTAACTGAGAAGTGTTCCGTTTAATAATGGCAGGATATTCATATCGTGAGCAGGCAGATATGATTTTTACATACGGCCGCGTGAATGGTAATAGAGGCGAGGCTGCTCGGCTGTATCCGACTGGGTTTCCAGACCAATGGCAGCCTTGTGATTGAAACTTCGCCGCTGTTTATCGTCGCATTTCTGAGACAGGATCCGTTGCCACAAAGTCTTTTTGGATTGTATCTTGAACTGTACGTTTAACAGCGTCCACTGTATTCTATAAACTTAATAACTCGAAAACAAAAGATTTGGTATATGTTTATTCCTTATTAGGATATCTATTCGGGAGCGTTGTAATAATATATATATATATATATATATATATATATATATATATATATATATATATATATATTTGATCGAAATCTTACAACTTCGAAAATTTTCAAAATATTCTCTCAATATGAATTATGAGAAACGGCGTTTAAAGTGAATTGACAAAGATTATACATTAATATATGCTGCATAAAATGAATGATTTATACTCGATATAAATGCACATATATACATATATATATATATATATATATATATATACACACACACATATATATATGTATATATATACACATATATATATGTATGTGTGTATATATATATATATATATATATATATATATATATATATATATATATATATATATACGTATGTATATATGTCTATGTATGCAGCAATTAAGTTATTATCAATGTATGTGCGTCTGACAATATACCTATGCATCTATATATCCCTAACAGTATGTATATATCTGCCTATTTATTTTATATATATATATATATATATATATATATATATATATATATATATATATATATATATATATAAATTTCATACTTTTGTGAGATAGGCTGGATGAGCCGGGACAGAAATGAAAGAAAGAAACAGTCTCATTGTTGATCAATTCAAAGTTCGTGACTTACCAACAGAAAAGATGACTGCAATCACAAAGAGATATAGCTCCTCAAATATGAATGCTGAACACTTGATCCTTTTAAATGTCAGTACTCTAATCTCGGCAAACTTCCTCCCTTCTCCGCCAACTGCGCACGAAATGCAAAAGATTAGAAGCATATTATGCCTCAAACTAAAAGCGATAATTGCTGACCACTTCTATTGGAGAGTGGCCGCGTCCGACACAAAGTAAGCCGGTTAAGGCGGCCCGACGTCAATGCTTTGCGCTCCGCCAATGCTAATCAGTAGTTCGCTCTTCTGGTCAATTCCAAAGTACAGGAAAAGAACCTGCTCATTATTAGCCTGATTGTATAATGCCTTTATCAACGTCGGGTGAAGACCTTCGGTGTGACGGGGGCACTAACCGGCAGGTATTTAGAGAGTTAAAGATGCTTTATTGAAAGAGATGAGGCGGAGTGCTGGGTACGCTGAAAACATTCTAATCAACGGGTATTCATTCACCACCAATGAATAACGACCTACTTGGGGCACCATTTTCTACCTACAGTTATTTATATCACCGGATTTTACAAGCATAAGAGATATGTGACCTTCTCTGATTAAGATATTGTTTGATATGTTTTTTTTTAATATAAAATCTCGTTTGTGAAAGGAACCAGAACGCTATGTCTCATATGGGTCTCATAGAAATATTACATTCGCTGTACAGCGTATACCATGATCCAAATTCCTTCAGGATATGCACAGCTTATTGTGACCAGCACAGTTTATTGAGTTTAGCTTAGACTCAGTACTTCAATCAAGGAACACCTTGTGAGTATTAAATTCATTATAAAACTAGTGCTTGAATATCTAACCTGCTAATCAACTATCTATCATAATCATTATAGAAACGAAGTTAGGATCATCGACGCAATGCGAACGGTTCTTTCTTTAGGTGTATACTATGTGCTACGCCATGGCTACATACAGTTTTACATTCAGAGTTACCTAGCCAGACTGTCCTGCTATTTATCTATAAATCATCTCCCCAAAATTTCTTATGATCTAAATATATTTTCTGGCTTTAAATATCCTGCAAATGGCTGATAAACCGTAAAAAGCAAATCAATCAATTATATATATTTGTTATTGTTACTGAATTAATGAAAGGATTTTGTCGATATTTGTTTATCGTATCTTAGTGCATAATAAAATCAGAGAGAGAGAAAGAAGGAGAGAGAGAGAGTGAGAGAGAGAGAAGTACACTGAGAGAAACTGTTTCAAGGAGAGGGGCGCAGACAGAGAGATTAACTCAGAAATAGAAAGAGAAAGACTGAGAGAGAATGAGAGAGAGACAGAGAGAGACAGAGAGAGATTCGGAGAAAGAGAGATTCACTGAGATAGAAAGAGTTTCGAAAGAGAGAGAGAGAGAGAGAGAGAGAGAGAGAGAGAGAGAGAGAGAGAGAGAGAGAGAGATTTACAGAGAGTGAGAGAGAATGTGACTAGGAGAGGGATTCAGAGAGAGACAGAGACTGACTCTGACAGAGCAATTCAGAGAGACAGTCTCAGAGAGATATTCAGAAAGATAGACTCTCAGAGGAGGAAGAGAGAGAGAGAGAGAGAGAGAGAGAGAGAGAGAGAGAGAGAGAGAGAGAAAGCGAGAGACTCAGGTACTCTGGAGTAACGGTAAATGTAAGAATTCCGTCTTTGTGTCGAAATCTGACTTGAATCTTTACCGGATATCGCTTTTTTTGGGACGACTGTCCGTGTTCAACGTCGTGGAAAGTCCAGGGAAGTAACAGGAAATCGTTTACACCCGTTCGGAATAGAAAAAGTTAATTGTAAAAAGGGGAAAAATGTCCTGACGAGAATAGACAGGAAGAAATGGTTCGAAAAAAAAAAAAATGGCTAGAAAGCAGAACGGCATCCAAAACTTCCCATAAAAGAAAGTAAATAAGAAATAAAAAAAACAAACAAAGAAATAGAGAGATAGGTAAAATTCTTCACTCAGAAGAAAATAAACAAGGAAGTCAAAAGAGAAATTGACCGAGAAAAACAAGAACAAATAAAGAAAATAAAAATAAATTAATTAAAAAAAAAAAAAGAAAGATTCGGAACATGATATGAAAACGTAAATAAAGTCAGTGAAGTTAGGAAAGTTTAAAGGTGTTCTGACATTTATACCAGAATTCTGTTTTTTACGTTACTTTCCAAAGTAGAAATGTAGAGAACAAACGTGGAAAGACAGTATTAAAACCTATTTCTTTAATTTGTCCTTGTTTTTTTTTATCGTTTTCTTCATAAACACGCTGTTCTATATTGTAAACATAAGTATAGATTTGAGTCGATTCAACTGAAATCAATAAAACCCTGCGTTGTAAGGACGAAATACGTAGATGAGGATTGGGTAGCAAAGTTCCACAAATCAGTATCGATCATAGTGAATGTGGTCCTCACTTGTCGCCACATAGCCGTCAATTTTCGCAGATTTTCAGACAAATAGAACCAGAAAGTAGACTTAGATTTAGAAAAAGAATTTATGCAATAGATAAAGACGAAAGAGAGCTGAAATAATTTGAAACTCACAGGACCTACGAAATGAAAGTGGCATTAAACAAGAAATAAATAAACAGTGAGTATCCTATCCAAATGAGCTGGTGTAAATGGATGGAAGAAGGGAGACGTGGATGGATCATAAGAGTACAAACATTGCACCCTCACCAAAAAAAAATGAGAGGTAGGTCTAGAGTGTCAAGATCGCATGCATCCTGGAAGGAAACGAAACAGAAGTAGAATCAACGGTTGGTCTATTCGAAAATCGGATGAAAAGGCGTCGAACACAGACCATAACATCAAAATACTTAACACCATAGGGCAATTCGGATTCAAAACTTACGCTAAAAAAACAAAAACTATCAACATAAGACGCCGCAGAAAACAAATAATAACTATTAAGTTGGTACAAAAATAATGACGTAATAATGTCGTTTTTTGATGTATTTTTTAACGTCAAAAAACGACATTATTACCGCATTATTTTTGCACCAACCTAATATTATCATTGCAAACAACTTTACTCTTTGAGAATGACCAAAATTCATAAAAGTACTTGGAGAAATAATCCCGACAAATAATTTAAAAACCATCAGTAATAGCACATATAAGAAAACAAGAGAAATTAAAAAATATATATTATCATAGTTTATATATATATATATATATATATATATATATAATAGATAGAAAAAGACAATATTTATAAGGCGTTTTTTAAAAGCAAAAGGTGCTAGAGTCCTTGTATATCAGATCTCGTGAGCCTTCCCTTTGTAAATAGAGGGAATGCTTGCTGGGTCTGAATATTATTGGGCTCTAGTTTCTTGAAATTCATAATTTTTTTCCCCATTCGATTACATTCGTTAATTAATTTACACGCTTTTTAAATTCCCAGAATAAATAAACTTGATAAGTCCTGGGACGAAACCGGTTGTTTTTATTTTAGCTTTTGCTTTTAAAAAACGCCTTATAAATATTGTCTTTACCTATCTATTATTAAATTCTGTACCACAAAAAAACTTGTTGATGTTGTACTTCGAAAATTAATTTTTCATTATTCTTTCGATAATGCTGGCTAATACCAAGCAAGGCTATTAGCAATTAATTTTGAAAAAAAAGAAGGTCATAATAGAGGAATAAGACATCAACTGATTCCATGGCTAACTCACGCAAATCCTGTAACTAACTTCATATCCACTAACAAGCAGCTGCACCATGAACTGATTCATTATCAGAACCAAGGCGTAGGACGGAGAATCGGAGTAGATTATGAGACGGAAGAAAATAAGGGAGATGACTAATGTATTTTCTGAAGTTGCCGTTGAAAATTGCATTTGAAATATTTGAATCGACTTTCCGATTTGTAATCTCAGTTAGAGAAACATGCAAATGAAGGATGCTGCTGCTGCTGCTGCTGCTGCTGAAGATAACGCTGGTGATTATAGTGAGGGTTGTAATAATAATGCTGATACTTACTGTTCGTTTTCAGGAATTAAACAGAAACATCAACATATCAGCAATATCATTTGCGGTAGTACTAGCAAAACAATCGGACATAGTTGGCTGATAGATTAGCCGAAAACACTTCGAACGACTAGCCACTTGGAAGATGTCTGCATACACTATGTCTTCAAAAAATCTCTTGTGCTCACACATGAAAACAGAAAAAAAGCTCGTCAGTCATTTCCATTGAAACAAATATTAGGGAGGGATTGCTTATATATATATATATATATATATATATATATATATATATATATATGAATAAAAATGACAAAAGGGAAACTAGTAATTGCTGACGCGTTTCGTCCAATATGGACTTTATGAAAGCAAAATACGAAATGAAATTAATTGAACAAGGTAACTAATAAAAACAAAAATCTACGCCCAGGTTTTTTCCCCATTTCACCTTTCTTAACAAAATTACTGCTCTCACAAACAAATATACACAGCACATTCATAAAATAGAAAGAAAATGGTTGAATACATCAACACAGTTATAATGACAATATTCTCCACACGTGACAAATACTGACGTTATTTTTCAGTTAACAATATGAAAATAGTGTTTCTCTACATTCCAGTTGCTAGGAACATTCTTTTTTTTTTATTTTTTATTAGTTTTGCCGGACGAGTATAGCTGCTTATATTTATAAGATTATTAGTATATATATATATATATATATATATATATATATATATATATATATATATATATACTGGGTGTAACAGCAAAATTGTCCAATTGTTAGATTGTTTTCAACCGTTGTAACTTAGAAATGCTTAAAGATATCACACGAGAATTCTCTGAGGTATTTATAACACTATTGGACTCTACTCTCTAACCTAACAGATTTCACATACGATTTCATTTTCATGTCCTTTATTTAGTACTGTTTGTACAGTCATAGCGGAAACTCCTCTCTCATATGTCAAACTTCATGTAGATTTATTTGGATTTTTTATAATTGATCTCTTTAACTCTAAGTTGAAATGATGATCACTCTTCCTGTTTTTACCACCTGCTTCACTTGTTCACTCAATTGTCCCCTCTTTTTTAAACTTATTTTCCGTTCTATTGATGGTTCTTGAAGAGGGAAGCCAGAGTATGTATGTTGGTACCATTACTGGGGGCCTGAATAATTTTTCCTTTCACCATTGCTCAGTTGGAAAGACAATGTGTCTGAGACAAAACAGTTTTAACCTGCTCTTTTTAGCTTCGTAACTCAAAGGGTTTTTCAATGATTCTTATGACAAATGGTGCCAAGCCAAGATGGCTAAACGTCTTATCTGAAAACCTAGAGAAAAGAAATTTAGTTGTTCTTTAGACATTAAAATATTTTTGTATGATGGAGAATGAAACTGTTACACGATTTGGCCAATTTTGCTGTTACAACCGGTACATATATATATATATATATATATATATATATATATATATATATATATATATATATATATATATTAATACTTATTAAAAATAAGAAGACAAATCAATTTAATGAGACATGTTTTAATGAAAACTTGCTGCCAAAACATACGTAGTATATATATATATATATATATATATATATATATATATATATATATATATATAGAGAGAGAGAGAGAGAGAGAGAGAGAGAGAGAGGGGCAGGCACGGTGGAGTAATGGATATCGGCTCGGATTGAGGAATCGCAGAGCCGAGGATGAATCCATTACATTCACTTACGTGCTAATACCCTTGGGAAAGGTGTGAATCCTCTTCTTCTCCCTCCAGCTATGGGTTCTACAGCCTTGGATGGCAACTGGTCTAGGAAAAGGACAACTCTGAATTCAAAACCTGAGGAGGTTTGTCTGGGAACCTTGTGGCACGTAGTGCACCAGGTTTCTGTATTCGGCCCTTCAAAAGTGTGAATGGTCCTGCACGAAGTTTTCACAACTATAATCGAATCTCGTGTGCCGGTGTCGGGCTGTCAGTTTCCTGAAACTGATCTGCTTGACCCTCATACGTCGAACCAGACGGGAGAATCGATTTTTTTTTTAAAGATTTATATATATATATATATATATATATATATATATATATATATATATATATATATATATATTCTGAAGATTTTACATAATTACGATTGAAGAATGTATCGTAGACAGAGCATTTGGAGTTGTGGACATAGAAATCAACGCTTCAAGTAGTGGTATTATACCAGAATCGGCTTGACGTCATTTTCACACGAGAACTGTGAAAGGAAGCCAGCTGCAGATTTGACTTCCGATGACCCCAGCTGGATGATGAGCTCTGAGGTTCATCTGCTCTCAGTGCTGGTCCTCGAGACGAACACATGCGAGCATGACTTCGCATGAGATGTACACACTCGAGAAAAAAAAACCCCCCAAAACCAAAACAAAACAAAACAAAAAAAACAAACAATTTTGGGCAGTTGGATATATAAACAAATACTTCAGAGAGGAGCGAACTGTTTCTCATACATCACAGACGAGAAAGTTGGCTCCACATTTCGTATTTTGGGAGTGGGGTGGGATGCATTTGTGCGGGTGCCCGCTTATGGGCTACAGACAAGCTGAAATAAACTGACAATATATCGGATTGAATAAGATCTAATGTTATGGAAGAAAGATTTAAGTCTCATTTTGTACTTTAACCATCACACCCACTTCATTCCAAGTGGGACTGTCACTTTCACACCTCAGTCTGTAACCATGCAATATTTATCTGTCTCTCTCTCTCTCAATCTATCTATCTATCTATCTATCTATCTATCTATCTATATATATATATATATATATATATATATATATATATATATAAACGTATTGAGATGCGATATTGTAACTATTTACACTATTTTCATTGTTCAGACTGTTGTCCTCATATTCATTGTCCTATTCAAGACGTTCCGGCTGTTGTACACTCCAGCCTTCTTCAGGTAATATTTGTTGGAATTTCGAACCGAACTTTTTTCTTTCGTCCACCGTGGTAGATTAAAACAATCTAGTCCCGTATCGTGGATATGACAATAAAGATGAGGATAACAGTTCGAACAATACAAATGTATATATATATATATATATATATATATATATATATATATATATATTGGAAATGAAATCGTACATGAAACATGCAAGGCATCTTGTTACTCAGGACATATATATATATATATATATATATATATATATATATATATATATATATATATATATATATATATACTAGCAATATGGCCTGGCGTTGCCCGTGCTTGAATCAAAAATCTTACGAATCATACAGCAATCTTTGTATATCAGAGATAGAGCGTGTGGAAATTTAAAAGTGAACCTTGAAGTCAACACTTAGAGGCGACAGGCTCTTTTCATTCCAAACGCAATCGTCAGGCCATATATATATATATATATATATATATATATATATATATATATATATATATATATATATATATAACATGGCCCGGCGTTGCCCGTGCTTGAATCAAAAATCTTACGAATCATACAGCAATCGCTATCACTTGACGTAAAATATGTTTGCCCTTCCTTGCCTTTAAAGTAGCGCCCTTTGCCGTGCTGATGTTGCTACGTGCCTTACTTCTCACACTGCGAATTTTTTCTAAGCTCTTTACTAAACATTAAATCTGTTACGAAAAAAGAACTAAACAAAATGAACACAAAACCATCAACTTTTAAAAAAAAGGAATCGTAACTAGAAAAACCGAATGATAAAAGAATGTTAACAACAAATACTTTTTCACACCGAACCCAGTCCTGCGGAATCAGAATTAACGTTGAGTTTAAGCAAGCGAATGAGCCAATTGGAGTAAAGTGCCACGCAGATTTAAATTTTTCCCACTTGTGACGAATGCAGCTATCGATTTTTTTGCATGCTAGTTAAAATTCGTGTCAGTCAGCTGTTGGCCAGTAGAATCTTCCTGCCTATTTGTGGCAGCCAGCTATAGGCTCTCACTCCTGCCAGTAGAAAATGGCCGCAAACTACATGAAAACTGTCGTAGAAGTATGAAAAAATCGATTATTTCCACTATCGATGGGAATTGGGAAATGCAAAGTCTGTCTTGGCCTTTCCGCTAACTTGGAGCATGTGCATGTAAATTTTGGTGCAAATCCGTCGAAAATTGCGGCCGTGCATTCGTTACACACACACACACACACACACACACACACACACACACACACACACACACACAACCTGCCTTTTATAGATAGAGATTGCATAATATTTGTTAATTTTGAGTTACTCTATGTTAGGCATTTTGAAGCTTTAAATCCTTTCCACCATAATCCACAAAAATTATTATTGCTTAATGTTTAACTTCCTCAAACCTTTGTTCTTCATTATATATGGCTATATTTTATTATTATTATTATTATTATTATTATTATTATTATTATTATTATTATACTTTGTAGTTATTGTTTATCTTACAACTTTCTTGTTCCTCACCTAATCACTTCATAGTATTCTCATTATTCGTAAGCAGAAATATATCTCAGTTCTGTGGCCTCTAATTTCCACTTCTTCGCTGCTATGTAGGAGATTAGGTCTTACATAGCTGTCTAGCACTTCTTTATTCGTCAGTTTCCGAAATGAATCATATCTATTCCTTTGCCGTATCAGATTCCTGCATCAGATTCTCCGACATTTTTTACTAATCAACCCAGATTATATTTCCGTATTTGTTATTTTTCACATCTTCAGTATGTAACTTATATAATGAGAAGTTTTTTTTTTCTAACAACCATTCGGTCTTGGTTTCATTGCGTATCAAGTTATTTAACTTTTTTCTATCGAGTCTCCCATCATCGCAACGGTATTTGTATAGCACGGAGCAAGAGAGACAGGGAGAATATCTCCTCTTACTTTATGTGTTTCTGTGAGTGGAGGACGGAACGGTCGACAAGTGGCTCGGCAAAAGGAAAAGAAAAAAAAGATTCTAAGGGCTAAAAGAGATAGGAAGTTGTGGAGATCAATGATCTGATACACTTGAGGGGAAACATAAAAGACGTTTTCTCGTATTTGTTGTAGTGGAAGAGTTCTTTTTCAGTTGTATCCTCTTTAGATATTACACAACCTCTCGAAGATTATATGTTCTGTCATGCAATTTATTTTTCTGTTATCACACCTTCTACATATAATGCAGAATCTCAATTTCTTCACATTTGTCATTCAGTCATTTCTCTTTCATTTCTTCGCACTTATTTTCGGATACCCTTATTGTTGAGGGGTCTACCCCTTTTTATACAAATGAACTCACCCAGTATATACATATACTACTGCAAGAGCGAGACGAGAGTAAGAGAGAACAAGACCGCAGAGTCGAGTCCAGAGTGACAGAGTAAAATGTTGTAGGTAACCGGAAGAGTGAGGGGTGAGGTAACAGCGTTGTAGAAGTCACAGTGAGCGAGCACGTAGACTCAGTAAGAAGTCATACAGCGATACTTCAATACCAAATTATATATTTTGCTACTAACCCGTATTCCTCGAACTACTAACCTGCATTACTAGTTTGTATTATTACGTTAATACATTATTTTCCTATATTCATTCCTGGCGTTTCTTATTTATTGGTACCGGATTTCATTCCGGAATCCACAACACTTATCTAAGCTCATATTCTGTACTATTTCCCTGTTTTATCTACTGCGTCTTTTCATGATATCAAGGATTTCTACCTGTCATGTTTTTATATTATCCCTTGTTTTCTTCCATCGATTTGACGTCTTGTCGCTAGTTCTATCCTAAAAGAGATCTGCTTTTAGGTCTTCATTCTTTTATGTGCCGTGTCACTTCAGGACGTAGGCGATCATGGCTCTCCATTTCCTCCTATCCCTTTTAGTTCTCAATATGTTTTAACCTTTCGCTACTGTTCTGTCATCCACTTGCTGAAGCCCGTTAAGTAAGTCACACGTTGCTTTCCCTCTCTCTTTCCCTCTATCCACCATGTGAGTATCAGATTCTCCAAGTCCTCCTTTCTCATTGCGTATACCAGAAATTTCAGCTGACCCTTCCTGATGTTAACTATAAGTTTCCTCTTGTGCGCATCGTATCTAAAATCTCATCGTTGCTCACATGTTCGGTCCACGTTATCCTTAGCATCCTTCTGTAGAACCACGACTTCGTTGCCTCGAGTCTCTTCTTCATCTTTGAGGAAACCGTCTAATATTCACTGCCGTAAAGAGGGCAGATATCACGTAGCAGTTTAGTATTCTTTGTTACCAACGAAATCTCCCTGTCTCGGAATACTCTGTCAAGCTTTTGGCATGCGTCTTTGGCCATCCCAATCAAAAATCATTTCCCCGCAAGCAAGGCGTTAATATGCAAGGGGTGGGTACGGGAGTGAAACAGAATGAGAAGACTTCGGTGACGAAAAGCGAGGAAAGGAAAATAAAGGAACAGGGTTCAGAAAAATAGAAGATGCCGATTTATGTTTCCTAAATCCTCCCCATTATCAGTCATCTTGTTCAATTTCATTTTCACTTTCTCTCTCTTGTTCAATTTCATTTTCATTTTCACTCTCTTGTACTCTTTCACTTTCAATCCCTTGTTCACTTTCATTTTCACTCCCTTGTTCTCTTTCATTTTCACTCTCTTGTCTTTTAATTTCACTTTCAATCTCTTGGTCTCTTTCACTTTCTCTCCCTTGTTCTCTTTCACTTTCACTTTCACTCCCTTGTTCACTTTCATTTTCACTCCCTTGTTCACTTTCATTTTCACTCCCTTGTTCTCTTTCATTTTCTCTCCCTTGTTGTCTTTTGCTTTCACTTTGAATCTCTTGGTCTCTTTCACTTCCTCTCCCTTGTTCTCTTTCACTTTCACTTTCACTCCCTAGTTCACTTTCATTTTCACTCCCTTGTTCTCTTTCATTTTCACTTTCACTCCCTAGTTCACTTTCATTTTCACTCCCTTGTTGTCTTTTACTTTCACTCTCGTGTTCTTTCATTTTCACTTCCTTGTTCTCTTTCATTTTCTCTCCCTTGTTGTCTTTTGCTTTCACTTTGAATCTCTTGGTCTCTTTCACTTCCTCTCCCTTGTTCTCTTTCACTTTCACTTTCACTCCCTTGTTCACTTTCATTTTCCCTCCCTTGTTCTCTTTCATTTTCACTTTCAATCCCTTGTTCACTTTCATTTTCCCTCCCTTGTTCTCTTTCATTTTCACTTTCACTCCCTTGTTCACTTTCACTTTCACTCTCTTGTTCTCTTTTATTTTCACTCCCTTGATCTCTTTCACTTTCAATCCCTTGTTCTCTTTCACTTTCACTTTCATTCATTCTCTGTAGTCTCGTAGGATTTTTGTCTTGCTTAGGGTAGAAAGGATTAAAAAACAAAACAAA